ATTTACAAGTATAAATGTATCACTTATAATAGCATTACAATTAGTGCTATTATAAATTCTTTTTTTTTTAAGCAAATCTAATATTTGTTCTTGGCAAAATCGTTTAGCAGCCACGTGGAGTTTTACATATATTCATATGTAAAAGTACTATAAATTTGTTATATATTTATATATATCATATGTATTTATCTTCAAGATATTGTATTTATCTTAAAGTGCTCTATAATTCATGATATTAATTTGAACAAGGTCTTTCTGCAAATTAGTAAAGTTTTACTACATTATAAAATGTGAAACAAATGCTTCCACGTTATAACGATATACAATAGCACTGATTTACCAGGATTTTCACTCTACTTATAGATTTTGTAAAATTCCTGAATTGTTGGCTTAGTTTGGAGAAAAAGTGACTTGTTTCACTTTTGAGAATTAAGATGAATAAATATTTTAATTTTAAAACAAGAAATAAAAATCTAAACAAAGAGCCAGCATGTAAGTTTCCATATCCTGTGGTGAAATATGATAAATGACTTAGACAGCTCTTGCCTAGAGTAGTTGGACTAATCTATTAATGGAGGAAGAGATCTTCTCAGACTATTTCCTGTTGAGATTCTGAGCAGTAGAAATGTCTTAATTGAAGAAATTAATGACTATTTCATGAAAATCAGGACACTAGAAGACAATGAAAAGAGTATCTAGAAAGAATAATATTGATGTCTTAAAAAGGGTTCAGTTAGAGAGTTTATATATTTTGTTTAAGACAGAAAATCACAGGTATGTATGGTTATAGGCAGTAATTAAATCCTCTTCTAAAAAAATCTAAGAAGTTTTTCATACAGAAGTACAAAGCTATTGGAAGAGCATGGAGAATCTACATCTCCTCCTTGTATCCCTAAATGTCCCCTAAGTTTGTTCTTCATCTTTTAAAATGAAGATAAGCCATGAAGATGTCTACCTCATACATTTTTAGGTTGAAATGGGCCTATATGTTAAATTCCACTGAGAACTCATAAAATACCATATAAATGTAAAGAATCATTAGGGAATATTTTTGAGCAATTGATCTTACTTAATATCATGTCTCAAATATCCTAAATCTACTGACTCATTAATCATCATCTGATAATCATATATCTATGCCTATGAACAAAAGCACTGCTATTTCATTCTTTGCCTGGGCCCTGACAATATTAAATCTCAATAAAAGTCATTCTATAACCAAATGGGGAAGACTCCTTAGAGCAGTTATAATACCTAGCAAGATGATTCTCAAATGTATTGTTAGCTACCTTTAGTTATCTTTCAATAGGTTATTCTGTGCTAACAATTTCAAACTACCCACCCTACCCTGCATACACACACACACACACACACACACACACACACACTTCACGCCAAATGAAATTGGGAAAGTCTAAGGGGGTGGAAAAACCTTTAGATTCTTCTCTGAGTCTAATTAAGAGGGCTGAGAAGTCACATTTATCTGTATAAGGTTGTAACAACAGGTGTTAATGGCCACACCTTTTATATGGTTTTTGCCCTGGGGCTGAGTCTATGGAGGGGTATGAAGTATATGTTGTGTGGTTTTAGACTCTTTTTTTGTGATGCCTCCCTCTCCTCAAGATGAGGTTGGTTTACCTGGCACTGTCTATCCCTATTTAACAAATAAAGAAACTGCGGCTTAGAGTTAAACTTACTTCAGGCCATATAGCAAGTGAGTGGCTGCCCAGACTCATTCCTGGTTCTTTTACTCTAGGTCAATATTTTGTATTATACTTCACTGAATCTCAGTTATTGACAACTGAGTCTTTGAAGGCACATTCTTTCCTGGATGCCCTAGGTAGAGAGAACCAAGATTTTAATGTGGATTTCCTGAAGAATCGCGCCATTATCTATCTAGGGTAATATCCTCTGAAATAACCGGAAAGTCTGTTCATATTTGCTTTAAATTGGTGTTTAAAGCAAGATGTATTTGAGAAATTTGAGATTCCCAAGTGCAAAACTATTTCCCAAATTCTCAAAATCAAAAGTCAAGGACAATGGTAGTTAATATATATGCTAGTGTTTGACAGGAGATAGTAACTGGCTGAGTTAGAAAAAAGTCTGGAGTTAAGAAAAAGCTGTCAAGGAGAGAGTCAATAATAGCGGAGCCATCTACTTCTTATTAGTTGAGCTTTTACGACAAAAGAGGAGTTACAATCATGCACCATATGATGAGGTTTTGGTCAATGACAAACTGCATGAACTACAATGGTCCCATAAGATTACAACAGAGCTGAAAAATTTCTAACACCTAGTGATTTTGTAGCCGTCTTAATGTCATAGTGCAACACATTACTCATGCGATTGTGGTAATGGTATAAACAAACCTACTGTGCTGCCGGTCATAGCACATCAATTATGTACGGTACATAATACTTGATAATGATAATAAATGACTGTTACTGGTTTATGTATGGTTTGTGTATTTAATATATTATACCTTTTACCATTATTTTAGAGTGTACTCTTTCTATTGATTAAAAAAAAGTTCGGCGTAAAACCGTATGCCATTACGTACGCCAGCAGCAGCCTCATACATCTCATGTTTACTACGTCTCTTGATTGAGTTTCTCTTGTGCTTGGTTTAATCTTGTGTTGTTTTATATATAGTAACATGCTGTACTGGCTTGTAGCCTAAGAGCATTAAACTAAACCATATAGCTTAGGTGTGTAGTAGGCTACACCACCTAGGTTTGTATACATGCACTCTATGATGTTCTCACAATGACGAAATCCTCAATGATGCATTTCTCAGAATGCCTCCTCATCAGTAAGCAGGACATGACTGTATTAAGTAACTAACAGGTATGGCATTGAACGATAAGAGTTATATGGCTCTGGCTACGTATATTGTATACAAGTATTAGCATAAACACCGGTTGAAAAGAGATAGGCCAAGAATATTAACATATTTGCTCCATGCCTTTTCAGAGCAGCAAAGAGAGTAAGAAATTTTCACACAATTGCTGTGAAAAGTGGAGAAACTGATACTGTCCTTTTCTCCAAAGGAAGAAGAAACCTAATGAATGTATTAAACCAATTTTGGACTTTAGTTTCGATGTTGGATGACTTGGTTATATTTCTTTAGGCAGGTTTCAGACTTGCTGCTTTCACAGCAAAGGAAGACAATGTAGTAAATGAAAAAAAAAAAAAAAGATTTAGGAATCTAAGATACTTTATTTCATCCCTTCCCAGAATCCCGGTATCCACTGCAGAAGATAACAGCAATTATCATTGACTGCTTATTGTGTGAAAAACACATGCTAGAGTATATATTGCATACCTCTCCTTCAGTCTTTCAACAGCCACATGAAACAGGCATTACTATACTTTTTTACAGAAGAACTTGAACTCCAAAAGGGTAGTAACAAAGATGATATAGTGAGAAGGAAACAGAGTAGAATTCACATTTAGCTGCTCCTGAGCTCATTCTCTCAACCAATACCCAGGGAGGCAATAGTGAATTTCTTTAGTTGGGCCTCACAGCAGAGTACATATTCTCTAAACAGGAAAAGGTATTAATGTTGGCTTGTGAGTTATACATGAGGAAGCCTTAGTGGAGCCCAGGTTAATTATTCCATCAGGTTTCATGGCTTTTTATGATCATTATATCAATTAAATGGGGGAATTGATTAATTCTTGGTATTCATGGTATCATAAGAATGTCTCAGTTCCAAAGGGAAGAAATAATAACCCTTGTGTGAAAATTGCTGGGAACACCTCTTCTAGAATTTATCTTCCAAAAATAGAGAGGTCCTCTAATTTAATAAAATCTTTCAAATTGAAACCCAGTCGAAAGTACTTGAATACATAATTTTAAATTTCTTCACGTCGGAAATATTGAAATATGTTATGTAATACACTATTAAACACTACAGATAGGAAAGATTTAGATCCTTGTCTCCAAGCAGCTGGAGATGTACACAGGTGTTATTAATCTATTAGCTGGAAGACTAAATAGTTGGCATTACGATAGTACTGTGGGTACAGTACTATTTCTTTTAAGTCTGCCATTTGCAAATGATTAGATGGACCATCTGTAACCGCCTGTGAATCATGTTAGGAGTTATCCAATGACATTTATCGAACATTTGTCATGTAGCAAAATGTTTAGTACAGAAAAATGGACACATAATCGTTTTAAGGTTTTACTAAATCAACTTTAGATACCACGCTATAGGTATACACATTGATGTGTAGTCTCCAGGAAAATATGGTTTATGATTTGATTAAAGAATACTGCCTCACCCCAAGCCCTCCGTGCACAAACCAAAAGGTATTTTATGCCCAGCGAGGTGACTTTGCTCCGCCGTTTGTTCCTGTGGGGAGTTTCAAAAGTGGTGAGGAAAGGAGATGGGAGATACAGCTGAAAATTAAGTAGAGGAAGCGGGTCATGATCAGTCGATGGCTGGGGACTGGCCTGGCGGGGAAGTAACGTGGAATCTCTATCGAGGCTGTGGTTTGCGGAGGAGTCGGGGCTCCTCTCATAGGACGTGTTCGCGCCACCTGTCAGATTAGAGGAGCCGCCGGGGATGGAGAGTGGGTGGGGAGGAGGATGCCCTGGAAGAAAGCTGTAGGCCAGCGAATCTCCACTAGCGATACGCTAGGGGGCGGGAAAAGGGTACGAGGGCGCGCTAGACCCGGAGGCGACTTCACATGGTTACCGGAACCTGGCTAGGAGACCGGGACGCGAGGCGGGCGGGGGGGGGCGCGACTGCGTGCTCCTCCCCTGAGCTACTCAGCGCCTCCTCCCAGACACGTGACCACATGCGGTGGGTGTCCTCGCTCCCGCAGCGTAGTTCGCTCTGTTTCTTCCCTCCCGCCGCGGTGCCCTTCTTCTCCCCTGTTCCCATCCCACCTCCCTTCCTCACCTCCCTCCCTACGTCCCAATAGTGGCTCGAGCTGCTAAGCGCCCGCCCCTCCGCCCTTTTCTGAGATTGCTCATTGGCTGAGGTGTCAAGGACGCGTCCCGAGGGCGGCTGGCAGCCATTGGTGGGATGAGCAATCCGAGTTCCCGGATGAGGGAACATTCTGCAGTATAAAGGGAGCGGGGAAGGCGGGAGACAGCGCAGTTTGAATCGCGGTGCGACGAAGGAGTAGGCGGTGGGATCTCGTTGGGTGTTTGACTAGTCCTTTCTCTGCCTTGCTTGTTTGAGCTTCAGCAGAATTTGAAATGGTAAACTTCGCCGAGCTGCTCCAAGACTCCGCGGGTTTTTGCCAGTGGGAGAAAAACCCGGTATAAAGGGAGCGGGGAAGGCGGGAGACAGCGCAGTTTGAATCGCGGTGCGACGAAGGAGTAGGCGGTGGGATCTCGTTGGGTGTTTGACTAGTCCTTTCTCTGCCTTGCTTGTTTGAGCTTCAGCAGAATTTGAAATGGTAAACTTCGCCGAGCTGCTCCAAGACTCCGCGGGTTTTTGCCAGTGGGAGAAAAACCCGTTACAAACGGAGATGAGGGTGAAGTGGACGGTTGGG